CCGTAAAATCAAAAATAGAGACCGGTCCCTTCTTATCAACATGAGTATCCACTACATATTCTAGATAACCCATACACCCATGTTGTAAACTCTGCCTTGCCCTGGTGGCAGAACAGAAAACATATCCTAATCTAGTACCATCGCCGTAGATAGTCAGCACTCCCCCACTAGGGTCTCGAACTATCACCAACTGACGCTCATAGTCAATCAGGGCACCAAACCGGCTCAATCAATCCATACCCACGATCACACAAACATCTCCCATCGTGATATGGATGAGATCTATCGGATATCCAACACCGAAGATCTCCAATACACAACCCCGGTAGACATCAATAGTAGAGACTGGACGCTCATTAGGTATCGAGACTCTCAAGGGCCTGCTCAAGGTCTCTCGCGGAAAACTAAAACCGCGACAAAATGATGATGACACACATGATCGACTCGCACCCAAGTCAAACAGCATAAGCGCAGGCACATAATTCATAAGAAAAGTACTTACACAATCAGTAATATAAGCAACATAAATAAATCAATAGAAATATAAAGAACACATACCATCCACAATGTCTGGAGCTGCGCGAGCCTCCTCTGATGTCAACTGAAATGCTCTCCCTTGATCCCTCGGTGCCTCGGCCTTCCCCTGTCGGCCACCAGTGATACGCAAGGTCGCAGGGGGCTGGAGTCTAAACCGCCCTAGATGCAAGCTGAGGACAATCTTCCTTCACGTGGGCCATCTGGTTGTAGCTGAAACAAACCTAAAATCCCTTTGAACAATCCCTAGCCAAATGCCCCTCCTTGCCACACAGGTAGAAACCTGACCCAGACCGATAGGGTCCCTCGTGTCTCTTACTGTACTTCCCGCAATTGCGGCCCTTCTCGCCTCCAGCTCTCTGATCAGTGGGCTTGGGCCACTTACTCGCCGATTGCGACTGCACTAGCCTCCTATCTCTCCCCTGGGTCTCCCTCTACTCCCCATCCAGAGTCTCCATCTTAATCTCTCTCCTCCTGGCATTGGTCTGCAGCTCAGCCAATGTCCGATACGTGGTGTTCTCCACAAACTCCCAGATATCCCTTATCAGAATACTCAAATACCGGCTCATACGATCCTGCTTCGTGGACACCTTCTTAGGGAAAAAGAAGCCCTATCATGAAACATCCTGGTGATCTCAATTACAGTCTCTGTCTTTTGCTTTAGAGACAGGAACTCCTCGGCCAACCTTTCCCGCTCGACTACGGGTACAAGCTCATCCCTGAATGTCTCAGTAAACCTTTCCCAAGTCATCGCAATATTCACTACAATAGAGTAGTCAACTATCACAAATTTCCACCAGTCCTTCGCTCCCAAGCGAAGCAGGTTCAATGCGAATCGAAACCTCAAATTATCTGGACAGGAGCATGTATAGGAACATCCCTCGACATCATAGATCCATCTCATAGAAGCAATCGAATCCACGGTCCCATCAAACTTGGATGGCTTCGTGTTGGTAAACTCCCGGTACCACAATGAATCACCCCCTGTGGCCTCACAGTAGTAAGAGTTTCTATGGCTGCGACCACAGCAACCTCAGTGACAGCGACATAACGCTCGTCAAAAGTCTCGATCAGCGTGGTCTTGATAGACCCAAACATATCTGGTATAGCCTCTCTGATTGTTGCGGCTACTTCCATGGCAACAATCCTGTGGATCTCATCATCGCTGGCACTTGGCCTCTCGGGGTCGCTGGAGCCTGAACCTTGGGTAACCACCATACTAAAGCACATATGAAAATTATCAGAAAATAGGATAAAGCGCAAATACTAACACTCACACCCCTACAAGCTCTTTAGTACCTTGAGGTTATTCTTCGAGCCGTGTATGGATCCAATGCTTCCAGTAATATGGGCCCAATACTACCTTCCACACCAACCCGTATTTGTCTCGAGTCGTGCCCTCAAGACCCCAAGTTGCAAGGACTCTACCTCCTCAAATCAACTATGGACTCACCCTGTTGGTTCCCTAAAACCACCGGTAAGCATCTAGACTCTAACTCTAGACTGCTCCCAACACTACTCCGCCTCATAAGATCTCCGCTGACCTCGCCATTTGCTTCGCGTATGCTAATTGTACATAATACGAGACTCAATAGACATTCGAATAAATGATTCTACCTCAAATCCACAACCAAACAAGGAATAGGAAGAAATGCTAAATCATGCATTCTAAGGATATAAAATCCTAACTATGTACAACTATGTAGCATACACAAAGCAAATAGTAAGGACAAATTCAGTCCCACAAGGATGAACTCCTAGGCTAAGGCATCACAAATCAGGCAACTTTACCACACAATTCCTGCAAGATTCCATAGCCTATCACTAACTAGCATGCAGTTTTATCAGCTCGTAGTATAGAGATATCTGCTCTACACTACTCATAATATAAATTGTGGTATTTTTGGAAACTACCGCTCGAGCGCTGGTTGATTATACACACTGTTTCTCTGGGTTTTTCTCCTGTAAAAGTTTTCATTCCTTTCTAAGTTCTTAAAAATTTTCAGATCCTTAGTTTGAGTTTGGAATCACCTAGAGGTTCATCCAAATCCCTCAAACTAGGGCTTTGATACCAAATTGTAACACCTCAAATTTTATATCAAATTTTTCATTTTTAGTTTACTAAAATCAAAGTTTCACAACCAAGTTATCAATTACATAATTATCCCAAAACAACCAGTATCATAATTATCAGAGTTCATAAACATGTCCCAGTAGTAAATCTCACAGCACGTGTGTACAATCAGACCTTCGCCTTCCCGCTGTCATGTAAAGTACCTACCACATATAAATCATAATTATAAGCACGAAGCTTAGTGAGTTCCCCAAGATATTATATACAACACAACATAAATAAACAAATATCGGTTTTAGCAACCCTGGGTACTATCAGCAGTCCCAATGAAATAACAGCATGCCATGTGCGTTATCTGCAACCCTGGTTGGCTATCAGCAGCCTCAGTCACATATAAGTAGCATAGCATAACCGTAACAGCTAGACCCAACTGGTCATTATAAATACAACTATTCTACCACACATGTAAGAATAAATGATGAGACTCACCTGGTACTGACGACAAGAAAACCTAGCACCCGAACTACCGGATCTAGACTCCGCCTAGTCAACAAAATAATTAACCCTAATTAATAATTAAGGTCCAAAAACTCACTCGCGAGTCCAAATCCCATGGCTAAACCTTCTAAGGGAAAAAGGTCCATTTTTCCCTTCTCATGGTCCAAAAACCGTAAATCTTGACCAAGGGTCAAAGTCAAAAAAGGTCAATAAAAGTCAACGCCCAACGAGTACGCTGAGCATACCACAACCTACGCAGGCGTACAACTCGAACATCGAAATGATGGGGCTGGGACCAGCTACGCGTGGAGTAGCCAGGAGTACGCCCAGCGTACTCTGTCTGTTGCCATTTCTACCAACTTTTGTTTTAAACCCTTAAGACAATTACCCCAAACACAGATCTGGCCATTCTAAGATGTCTAAAACCATAAAGTTATCGACTTTAAGCCTTTTCATGGCTAGAAAAGTCCCAAAGCAATATTCATAAACTCCCAACATGTTCTTAGCAATTTTGCTCGTGCATGAACCAAAGGGAGTGATCAAGCTACCATTTTTATGAATCCACAAGTCCCATAATACATGAAAGGACAGCTACAAACCCTTGGAGTGCCCCAAACTCATTAAGGTCCAATCTTTGGGGGACAAAACTCTTAAAACTTCAAATATGGAGATCTAATGAAAGGTTTGTCAAGGTATAAAATTTATACCTGAAAATGATGCATAGGGAGGGACGTTTTATGGATCTACAAGCTTGCTAACACCCACTCCTTCTTGTCTAGCTTCCTTCTTCAACTAAATACACCAAAAAGACCCAATGAACTTGCAAGGCTCACACAAACACTCAAACACGGGATTAGGGTTTAGGGAAGGTTTGGAGACTGATAAGGGTGACCAAAAGAGGACTTAATGTTCTTTATATAGGGAGCAACTCATGTAATTAGGGTTTTAGAGTCTGGGCTAGTATGTCCGACGTACCATACGTACGACTAGCGTACTAGCTGGCTACCCATGATTCTTACACTGCATGGGTACACTGCGCATACCCTTACGTACGCCCAACGTACGACCAAAATAGCGAAACTTTTCTCCAAGGGACCAAAAGTGCCATTAATGATGAAGATAAAAAGAATATTAAAATACCTGAAAATCAGGCTGTTAAATCATTTTTTGAGTAATCTTTATAAATCGTCCATGTGGTTTTCAGGAATATAAATTTTAATCCCTATCCTTTTTCGATCTCGTAGAAGGTCCCGATAATTTCAATTTTTATCATGTTTGGTCCCTAAAATCGTTTACGAGACGTACAATGTCTATTTTTGCCTTCATTTATTTATTTTTAATTTATTTTCAGGTTGTTATTATTAATAATTATATTTAAAGCAACATTAAATAATTAGGCCTCACCCATACCCCTCTTCTTCATCACTACCTATTAGATAAATGTTTCTAAGTTCATAAATAAATTGGTATAAACTTGTAACTAGAAGCAAAATTCTTTTTGGGTTGCCCTCATAACTAGAAACTGATTAAAATGACATTTGTAGAGAGAGGAAATAATTTGTTAGTTTATTATATGATTAATAAATTAATTGTAAATAGATTAAGTTAATAAATAATGGGTAAATGTCACTGTAGTCCCACAAACTTTTCCATTTTGGTTTAAAAGGTCCTTATTGTTATTTTTTGGCTTTGTAAGGGCATGAATTCTCTTTTTACCGGATTTTAAGGCCATTTTCTAGAAAGTGAAGGGGTCACCCGGTCACCCCTTTCTCAATCAGTTGGTTATCTTGTACACGTCATTAAAAAAAAGTCAACTCATTTGCCAAATCAGATGCCACCTAATGTATCGTTAAATGAGATGAACATGAGAGCATGAATTTGGGGGAGAACAACCATGTGGAATCCATTGCCATTATCATCACTTCCTCTCAAAATAACATTTATCATCTTTTTCTCTCCCACTGCTTCTTCTTCGTCTTACTCTCCTCCAACCCCCAACCCCCGTTATCATTACATCTCAATTCCGAAAGTCAACTCTAAGAAACCCTCAGTGACCACCGCCACCGCTGGAGACATACTCGCACTCCTTGGCACATCTCAGCAGGCTGTATCCGTCGACCCCCAAGTTGTTGTTGAACTTCAATCCTGCTTCAAGTTCATCATTCCTTTTAATCCTACTACCAACACTCCACCTGATTACCATTTCAATTTAATAAATCGGTTGAGTCAATCCCTAACCGAATCGGGAATTCGACCACCGCCACTGCTGGAGACATACTCGCACTCCTTCCCTAATTCTTCACCCACCCTTCTTCTTTTTCTTCCCCATTTCTTTCTCTGAAATAACCTGTGTGTGTGAGAGAAATTGACCACAAGATGAGGTTCCTCTTCCTCCTACTGCTGTTACAGTGCATTCCCAACTCATTCGCTGCCAAATCAGGCCGATTGACGGAATACCAAGCACTAATTTCCCTCAAATCCGCCATCTCCGACGACCCTCAGTCCTCCCATTCCACCTGCGACCTTTCTACCAGCCACTGTACTTGGTCCGGTGTCACCTGCGAAAGAACTCACAGGCTCTATCCCTCCCGAAATCGAAAACTTAACAAACCTCCCACAACTCTACCTTGGGTACTACAATGGTTACACCGGTGGTATTCCTCCAGAAATCAGTAATTTATCAAGCCTCATTCGCCTCGACGCTGCCAACAGTGGTCTCTCCGGTGAAGTTCCTCCGGAAATCGAGAAGCTTCAAAACCTGGACACGGTGTGGTGATTAGAGCCCATCATTGTTAATGGAATTAAGCTTTTTCCATTTCCCAAATTTGAAAAGGATAGAAGAAAAAATGTGAAATCTTTTTTTACGTAAGAAAAAGTGTTAGAGTAGTGCTTAGATAAATCCCCAAAGTTGCTGATGAGGCAGAAGTCTACTAGGCTCCAAGTGTTGTTGATGAGGTTACATGTCATCATTTTCTAACCTATTTGGCAGATCTAACCGGTTATAATGGGTTGTTTACCCAAATTAGCAGGTAAAACACAAGTTGATGCCCTTAGAAAGCAAAAAAATAAGATGGTGGACCTTTTAAACCAAAACACGTAAGTTTGTTGGGCTACAGTGACATTTACCCATAAATAATTGATCAGAATAAATTAGAAGTGCAATGACTGCTTGGTAATTGCTTAATAGTTGAGCAAAATAGAGATTCTAGAAACCTCCATAGCTTGAACGGTTTTGGGTGCCTTGGTGACATGCTAGAATGCTCTATTTAATCAAAGGAAAGTGGATAATTACCTGGATTTGAAATAATACTATTTTATGTTCAAATTTAGGATTTCCGGGTTTTCCTAGCAGCTATATAAAGGAGCATGGGGATTGCATTTTCCGGCCACTGTTCTAAGAGATACTCCAGCCGAAAATTCATATCCTCTCTCCTTTCTTGTGTTCTAGTTTCTAGATTTAGGTGTGAGCCATTAGAGATATCATCCCTTTAGTGTTTGCTTTTTAAAGATCTACATTGAGGGAATCAAGGGAATTGTTTGTAATAACAATTCAAAAGGTATGCAACCATAATCTAGAAATTTCGATTATACTAGGGTTTATGTAGGGTTTGCATGTACCATTAATTGTTAAGTGTTATTTTTCCACATTTTAAATGAATTTTATAACTTATGAAACCCATCACTACCAACACCACAACATCATTCCACAATAAGCACCAATGAGGGAATCAAGGGAATTGTTTGCAATAACAATTCAAAAGGTATGCAACCATAATCTAGAAATTTCGATTATACTAGGGTTTATGTAGGGTTTGCATGTACCATTAATTGTTAAGTGTTATTTTTCCACATTTTAAATGAATTTTATAACTTATGAAACCCATCACTACCAACACCACAACATCATTCCACAATAAGCACCAACTGTCGACGAAAACCAACCACCACAACACTGCCTACCAAAATGTTTAAAACCAAAATCAAATTCCTTTATAATATCTAATGATTTCATATAGAGTTTTAACAATGATGGTGCATCAAAAGCAACAACCATAATTTTATTATTTATTTCGTCTAATAATACTTTTAATATTAGTTAATTTTATTAGGTTAATAATAAATAATTTATTATTTATTTCATATAGAGTTTTCCAATATTAGCAACAACCCCTCCACATAATCCTAATTTTCACAACACCGCCCCACCATTACAACATACCGAGCTCAACAACTTCCTTCAACACTGGCTTTTACACCAGAGGAAAAATCAAATTTTCAAAATTTTCTCCTACTTTTCAGTCTCTTCTCCATTTCCGTGGCATGACATACCAATGACATTACTTTCTCTATTTTCCTTTATCATGGTAAATCAAGATAATGATTATTTAAAGTTTAGGTGCAACTTAGGTATCAATAACAAACATGAGACAACTCCTTAAAATTATATATTAAGGACCATTTTCGTTATTAATTTCTCTTTACATGGGTTTTTTGGTTATTAATGCATAAATACATAGTGTGAAATTAATGCACCAATAACTTGTAAATTATTTTTTTGCCACCTGGCCAAGATCTCTCTCTCTTAACTTGTAATTTATTTTTTTTGCCTCTCTCTCTCTCTCTCTCTCTCTCTCTCTCTCTCTCTCTCTCTCTCTCTCTCTCTCTCTCTCTCTCTCTCTCTCAGGCTGACTTTTTGCAAAGAAGAAGAGTTAATGTTGCTTGCCGTCTTCTTTTGACTTTTGTTGGTTTATGAGTTGTGTGTGTGAGAGAGAAATAGTAAAGTCACTTCCTTTTTACCTCTTTTCAACCCCTATCTTTGGTCAGCGTTTGAAATCACCACCACCACCACCGTCTCTCTCTTTCTTCCGTCTATATATTGTTTGGAAAGGGATACCCCTAGGAAAAGACCTTTGTCTTGCCGTTTATCCTTGGTTGAAAGAAGAAGAAGCCATCTCATTTGTCAGCTACAAACACAAACTGAGTGTGAAAAATAGAGAAGTCATACATAAAGAAGATCGTCATCAACACAAAGTTAAGCAGTTCATTCACAATCTAAAGAAGGAAGATTGCAATGGGAAGGCCACCTTGTTGTGACAAAGTAGGAGTGAAGAAAGGGCCATGGACTCCAGAAGAAGATATAATCCTTGTATCTTATATTCAAGAACATGGTCCTGGTAATTGGAGATCTGTTCCTACCAATACTGGTATGTTATACTTCAAATCTTTTGTTTTTTGTGTTTTTTTTTAATAAAGATTCTTATTTAGAGGTGGGTTTGTTAGAGTCATTAAATTTGGCTATTTATTGTATCCTGCAAACTTCTTTTTCAATGAAAATTTTCGACTTTTGGAATTCAGTTTTTTCTTATTTTGCATCTTATTATTGCTCAGGTTTGCTAAGATGCAGTAAGAGTTGCAGACTTAGATGGACGAATTATCTCCGGCCAGGTATCAAACGCGGCAACTTCACCGATCAAGAGGAGAAGATGATCATCCATCTGCAAGCCCTTCTTGGCAACAGGTATACACGTATATATGAGGAGTTTAGATCTGTAGAGAAAATTGATGATATCATGTTAAGGATTACTTTTTTATTATAATTATGTGGTTGATGTGGGGTTTTGGTTAAATTTTGTAGATGGGCAGCAATAGCTTCTTATCTTCCACAAAGAACAGATAACGATATCAAGAATTACTGGAACACCTATCTGAAGAAGAAGCTTAACAAGATCCAAGGCGACTCATCTGACCTAGAAAACCATCATCGTTCAATGGGATCAAACTCATCATCATTCTCACAAACTGCCATGCCTAAAGGTCAATGGGAGAGAAGGCTCCAAACTGATATCCACATGGCTAAACAAGCCCTCTGTGAAGCCTTATCTCTCGACAACAAATCCATCAATCTGCCTGAATTATCCTCGTCCACGGTTTCAAGAAATCCCTCATCAATCAGTACAAACCCTAGTTCACTAATACACCAACAAGTGGCCCTACCTCCTACGCAGACAAATCAAAGTGCAACTACTTATGCTTCAAGTGCGGATAACATTGCACGATTGCTCCCAAACTGGATGAAGAAACCCCAAAAATCTTCACAGACGAGCTCGGAAAGTATCAGCACCACTGATCAGACTCACAACTCTTTCGATGGGGTGCAGTTTACCAGTCCTCCAAGTGAAGGCTTTGATAATTCACTGCAATTTGGGTTCAACAACTACTCAAACTACAGCAATATTTCAGATGGTTCTCCATCGGTTTCGCCAGAAACAAGTTTATTCCAAGATGAAAGCAAACCAAACACCAAAAATGCTCAATTTCCCCCTCTTACTTTCCTAGAGAAATGGCTTCTTGATGATGCTACTGCTCAAGTACATGAAGATAACCTTATGAATCTTTCTTTAGAAGAAACTGATGCCTTGTTTTAACTCTTTTTTCCTCTTGATTTGTGGAAGGTGGTGTTAAATATGTACTTCCAACTGTTGACGTACGTTCTCCCAGGCCAGTAATTCAGTAGGTACTATACATTACAAGTTTGAATCAAATCTAGGGTTTCTTGTCATTTAATTTAAAGTATTTTCAACCACTCGAAGAAACCGGTTGAACATCCTTTAGGTTTGTGTTTCTTTCTCTTTTTTGTTTTCTAGAAAGTGAAAAAAGAAGTGTAAATAGTAGTAGGCGGCAGGTTTATAATCTACAAGTGTCTTCATGTTCTTAGAGAAAAATCTTTGTACTCATGTTTCTTTGTATTAGGCATATATAAGACAATGATGAATGAGAATCAGGTTTTCGACGAATTTCTCTTGGTATTATATTTGTTCGTAATCTTGGTATGATATAGCATATATTTGTTCGTAGTTTTGGAATAATAATTCGTATCATGATTTTAAAATAATGGAGTAGGCTTAATTATTTGAAGAATCAAATTGTTATTTAAGTATTTTCCCAAACTATGCAATCAAATATTAAATGCGGGTTGCTTTAAGACCGACAACGAATTGATCAATTGTGATTGCCTAGTATTTTTTTGGGTCCTATTTTCGACACACCACTCTACACAACACCAATCTATATATTAGGTTTGCTTTTTAGATGAATGAGGGTAATTATTATCATATAATTATTATTGACTTTACTTTTTAAATCATCATCACAATATAATTATTATTTGACCAACTTTTATTATTAGTTCATTATTACATAATCTATAAATCATTATTATTTAATAACTATATTTTTTACTAACTTAATTAATATTAATAATTTTATATTTATTTATTATTAAGATAAAAAAAAATATAGTTTTTATAATATAATAACATATATAATATTATAAAAAAATAAATTATAAATAAATTTTCGTCAACCTAATATCATTGATATTATAAATAATATTATAAGAAATAAAATCCGAACAAATTTCATCATTTTTTTTTAATTTTAAATATTACATAACAAAAATCTGAGACAAAAATAAACAACAATTAATCATTTATAGTCATAAGAGATCTTTCCGTAGGTCTGAGTCGCTTATAAAATTCTAGACGCGACTTATACATAGTTTGTCATTCGGCTGCGGACGGGTCTTTGTGGCGGATCCATAATGCTAAAATAGGAGGCATCGGATACTCTCCTTCTAACTGTACCATCACATAGTGATTGATGTATACAAGTGCAAATGTAAGGACACGATGATTTTGAAACTCACTAGGACCTCTCCATAGAGGGAAAAAGGTTACGGGGCCCACTGTAGTCAAAAATTGGACAATCACACCAAACCTGTTGGCTATCAGGATACCTGTCTCAAGCATAAGCATATAGTGTTCTGGTGGTGCTGTCCTATCTGTCATGAAGAAAGACAATGAATCAAGTACTCCATTGCATCCAATGAAAACTCTAGAATAGTCTTCATATGACGTCAATAACTCATCATACAATTGCTGGCGAATGAAAAGCCACTCATTTTCATCATATCCGAGACAAACAGCTACCGATCGAAAACCACAATTTCCATCACCCCTTACATTTTGTATACGCGTGATGTATGGATGAAATATTGATGGAATTTCCTTCAACAATGAATTATGTTCCTTCGTTGCTTTCTCTTTCAAGTCAAACCGGTACGACCATTGGCATGTTGGTTCCTCATTCAAGTCAAACTGGTACGAACATTTGTCTATTGGTTCCTCGTTCATGCCCATGAAGAATGAACTATGCCTAGCTGGTTCATTGTTCAAGTCAAAGAATGATGAATTATGCCTAGTCGGTTCATCGTTCAAGTCAAAGAATGATGAATTATGCCTAGTCAGTTCATCGTTCAAGTCGAAGAATGATGAACTATGCCTAGTCGGTTCATCGTTCAAGTCGAAGAATGATGAACTATGCCTAGGTGGTTCCTGATTCAAGTCTGAACAACTGTATCGGGTAAGGAGCTTGACTTTGATGGTGACCACGCTTCACTTTTAGGCGTCCACGGTTATTTTTCTTAACCAAAGGTTCATTGATCATAATTTTTGAAGGATCGATTATCTCTTCCATCTTTCTTATATAACTGTATTTGACATGATCTGGTTGATTGTTGAATTTTCCTTCCATCTTTGCATATGATCATCAACATTAAGATTTCCATAATCCACAAATACACAAGGCTTAAAATCAAGCGTTCTCCAAAAAATATCAATTGAATCCAACGGAATAGGTGAACCTATAGTAAAAAAGTCAAAATGTTATAAAGTGATTATACATATAAAACTTGTCAATTTAATACAATACATTTGACATCGACATACATCGCAAGTTCGTGAGCGCATGGTAAACCAAAACATGTTCATAGTTGACAGCCACAATTCTCAGGAGTTGGTGCAAATCCTTTTAACCGATGAAGCTCTTCTAAGATTTTATCCAAAGCATGCTTTGAAACATGATGTCGTAGTGAATTGAATATCTCATCCTTAAATTTTGGTTTATGAATGATTATGCTCCTTGTGAAACTCTCTTTGATAGCTGTGTCTTGCGACTGTACAACTGTTTCAATAACATATATGAATTTATCCAAATCACGTTTTCGAGATACTAGGTGTTTTTTTAGCTTAGCGTGCTGACTCTCAACTCTATTTGTTGTTGAATTTCCAAAATTGGTACTTTTATCGGTCCACAATGATACAAATTTGTCGGGATACTTCTCCAACCAAGTATTGTAAAGATACCAAAAAACAACTAAAATATGAAGAAAAATCAAATTAGTATGATTGAATGAATAATAATTATTAAAGAAATTAAGAGTTTAGGATATATATTAATGATACCTGGACGTCCATTAATTTTCGATTTCAAAATTTAAATTTATGGTTAATTTATTCATTATTATAATATTAATACTATATTTAATGTTTCGTTGAAATTCCTTTTATAGATACTTTTTGAAAGTAAATAAAATAATGCAGAAAGTATAAAAAGGTTTAAATTTAAGATGTCTAAAATGAAACATATTCAAATTTTGGGGGGTTGTTTATGTAAAATGATAAGATATAAAGGCTTACTTTGATCGAGCCCTAGCAAAAATGTTTCAGCCGCCAAAACTGAGAGCCAGAGATGTCCGATGCGATTTGCAGCGATGAAGCTATTTCCGGCGACGACAAAATTTCTGGCGACGACGGTCGGTTTCACGGTGCAACATTCATAGCCACTAGCCACTGGTTTGATGCTTCGACGGCGGACTTTCTCACGGTGCTATTTTTCTCGTTCTTTCTTTCCGGCGATCTATTGTTTTTTCTCCGACGTAAATGATGATTCTCTCGCTTTTCTCAATCTGGTCTAGGTGGTTCACGATGGTAAATGGTGGTTCCGGTGGTCTTTTCTCACGATATCTCTTTCTCTCGTTTTGTCTCCGGCGTTATTTGGTTACCGCCGGTTAGTTGTTGCCGGCGGCAGTTCTTTGGTTGAAGCTGATTCCGATGGTGAACAGTTTTTTTTTTTTTTTTTTGAATATTGTTAATATACTGTTTAAATGATTCATTTTCTGTTTATATAAAATGTCGTGGTTTATTGGAAGTTTAAATGGATTAATGATGTTCAGTGTTCAATATAACTATATTTTGTAGTTTGTTCATATTCTGATAATTTAGTTTTTTTAGAAATAAAACACAGTCTTCAAAACATAAATATTGGGAATATACAATAAAAAGGTGAATAAATCTGAATTGAATGCTTTCTATATAATATTTGCCCATTGGATATAAATCCTTGAAATAAGAAAAAGCTGTCAAAAAAAATCAGATAAAAGTCAAAATATGTTAGATTGGTGTGTGAGATAGATTGATGTGTATAAAGAAATAGCCTATTTTTTTTCATCCGTCCCAAAATTAACTTTTTTTTTCTGGATATTCAAACTAAAATCTTTTTGGAAGTTGATATTATATTTTTGGTTCATTTAATCTGGAAGCTTTAAAATTATTAGTTTTGTAAAATATTACTTCTTTGTAGACTTTGAATTTACAACGCGACAAATGATGTCGAAATTGATTTTTCTGAATGAAAATAGCCAGGCTTTTTTTTTCTAAGAATTAAATGAATATGCACCAGAACCTAGCAAGCAGGCATGTTAACTATTAATAACAATAAATGTGCTAATAATTTGATGATGAAAGGCCAGTTTATAGAATAGAGTTGAATTAGTAAAAGAAAATTGGCTAAAGACAAATATAGTATAGCTCAAACGCCTAAGGAGCTTTGTTGAGCTTTTAGTTGTACAGTGTATCACATAGATTTTTAATATTTGCTTAGAAAATAGATTGTTTATAAGGGAAAATTTTATCCTGTGTAGATGATGGATGTATAAACTATATAAATTTAAACATCCAAAGGTAATATGGATGTTTGGAAAAAATAATACCATACCAACCTACTTTAGGATAGTCTAGTTATCATGCTACTAACTAATTTTTGTTAGAGTTTTGAATGAAAAGCACACAATTAGAAAGGCGATTCCAACATAATGACCATAATAAATTATATATTTCGCACGGGATAATTATATATTATGGGTCTTTGAATTCAACCTTATTGTTAATTAAGTCTCCGTTGTGGCAATTAAGTTTATACTTCACAACTCAATAATCTTATCTTTTATTTGGAGGTTGATCTTGAGTTAAGTATCTTCCAAGATGTGTACCAACTGTACCGCCTCCTTGATTGAGTGTATAACCTTTTTAAGCTGGTCGGTGTATGTTATATCATATCAAAAAAATATCATCTCACATGTCATGTCATGTCATCCCATGGTGCTATAACATCAATGAGGAAATGAACATGTTATAACACTCACTAGTTTGCATGCCATTCTTTCTTTTTTATTTTTTTCGATTTATTTTTTAATATTTATAAAAACAAAATTAATTTAATAGAACATGTTATTTAAACAAAAACCGAATTTTTTTAATTAAACATAACATTTAAAATTCTAAAAAGACATTACAACAAAAAACAAAGACTCTATAATCTGTCAAGTCTT